GATACCAATGGAGGTTGCAATTATAAGTATATGAAAAATATAAAAAAAGAAACTCGAAAATAGAAATTGGAGATCGGTCGATGTGGACCTATGCAATATATATAGACCAGAATAGGCACTATTTGTACAGTCCACTTGGTCTAGCATCTGGCTGTATTATGCATAGACCAAACCGTCTATCTTTGGTCTGGACTATCGACGGCATAAATGGTAGAATGGTAGACCAAGCCTAGGACATGCTCCATGTAAATTGGTCCTATGATTTTACATGAGATTGGTCTAGACTTGGTCCGGTAGTAAGTCAACGAAAGACTGTCTTTTATGCAGTCTAAGACTGGACTCACTTTTTGCAGGGTACCAGTGGTCGGTATGAGAGAATCTGTCACTGTGTTGGTGAGCACGAATCAAAAGTAGCCCAGTGAGAAATTGGAATTAAAATTAAGCAATTTTTTTAAACAAAATTATAAAATAAATTATTCTTCAATAAAATTCTAATCTAAATAATATAAGTATTCGTTTTTATGTTTGCAAAAAAATATATTTTCTTCTTTAAAAACACATTTTCGTTCTTTTTCATCAAAATAATTAATAGTATAATGAAAATTATCAAAATGTCTTTTAAGGATATATTCCCTATTATCTTTTAAAGACTTGGAACATAAAAGGCATTGCATGGCAACAAAGGCATTTAGAATCATAAAATATTTTTCGGGAGGCTTAATTCATTTAGCCAATAGCATTTTGTGGGCGAGGCAGTGGTGTAATTACGCTTATCTGCGACCTCCCCCATTTCGTTCTGCCAAGGAACACGTGTACCAAGTCTCAATTTTTAATCAAGCTATCGCTGGCACAGACGGACGGAAAGACAGATTGTCACTCGGAATACAACTTAACTCCTAATAATTTATATTTACATACAAAACTCTATACCATATGTATCTCGATTAGTTTACAAACAACCATTAGTTGAACAAAACTGTTATACTCAGTACAAACATGTTGCGAGAATATAAAAATATTTGGAAAAAATTTAAGATTCAGTATTCGACGAATCGTAATAACCACTTCGTTACGAGCGTCAACCATAGTCGACAGCCATGAATTTTATCTTATCTCTACAGTTGCTCAGTGTCCACTCGCATAATTCTAGTTTCTTTAAATCCATCGAGCAACGCGGTTCTGTAACGTTTTTATTATCTCATCATAGATCTATCGACGAATGAGGCAGCGTGCGGACAGTTTTGTGGCCGATAAGCGCCGAACCAAAGTGGTTAACTTTTACTTCGAGTATATAAACTCATTGTAAGAGCATAAAATTAATATATTGGGTGAATGTAGACCTATTCCATTCACATTCAACAGTAAATCTATTTAATTTCATTAAATTATCTCACATTTTTACGAATTTGAACGACATACTTGTAAAGTCAGATGGAAAACTGGAAATCATTACGTGGGATATATTGGGGGCAGAGAAAGGTATAAGGCTACAAAGATATGTATATACACTTTCATTGAATGAAATAGATAATGTTTTAAATTTTTATCATATATGACGAAAGGTATCTTGCGGGCTTGAGAGGTTTAGCAAAACCTGTTGCTATAGAGTTATACTTTTATTCACCTAACGGTTCCACGTATCATCTAAAACATATCGAGATAGATATATTGTATATATAAATATGATAAAGATGGCGAGAAAAGTGAAAATCCAGGTGACTGTCACCTATAAAGTGCCAGTAGCAAAGGGCACCTACAGGCAAAAAAATTTGGAAAAGTTTGCGGGTCGCCCTCTAATTAGTTAAATGTACATATCTCCTAAATAACTCAACCTATAGCAATCAAATTTGCACAGCTCAGACATTATAAGAATTATACTTAAATGTTAAAATGGATGAAATCTGAACACAACCCCGTTCACTCTTCATATAACGGTACTTTTGAAAACTATTAAAAGCCCAATAAATCAATGACTTATTACGTCAGGGTCAATCAAGTTTATCTAAGAAATGTTGAGGCACCTCCCACTTTTTGAAATCACATATCTCGAGACCCGATCCGTCGATGACTAATTCATTTAGTGGGCGTCATTTTTTTCATTTCCCTTGAATTCAGACAGGAACTTTTCTTGACAATAGCATATGTGTGTGAAGGATATAGTCATGTGTAGAAGTTTTCTCAAAAGAGGAAAGTTCCCTGATTTTTTTACATATAGTTCAAGCCGCTTCCGGTTTTAGACCAAATATATTCTGGGTAGCCAAAGCACATCCGTTGGAAGCCGAGCTAAATTTGAAAGGCAAATGGGAAGGTGCCGCTGACCAGCTGGTTGATGTCCTCGCTAGTGTGAAGGCAACATATGCGAGGAATGGGACAAGGACTGAGGCGAGTAGGTCCTTGTGACACTTACTACAGTGGCTATATAAAGGACCGCAAATTCGGCGTGGTATTCGTGGTGGGAAAGAGCCCCGTGGCTGAACGTCTAGCCACAATCCACAACAAAGCGAAGTTCTTCAACATATCGCTGATTTGCGCCTACATCCCAACGGAAGAGAACGACGATGTGACCAAAAATGCCTTCTTTGACTGCTTGGACCGCTCTTATGAGCGCTGACCCGTAAGGATGTGAAAATCGTGATTGGTGGCTTTAACGCCAGGGTGGGGAAAGAAGTAATTTTTGGCAGAACAGTCGGTAAATGCAGCCTCCCCGAAGAAACATCCCCAAATGGGTTGAATCTGATCGGGGTCTGAAATACTTGTTGTGTGTAGTACTAGATTCGAACACAAAAAAATACATCAAGCTACCTTGCTGTCTCCGGATCGAAAATCCACTAACTAGATTGATCACGTTGTAGTAGACGGAAGACTCYGTCTCCAGTGTTTTAGCCGTGTATACGCTCCGAGGTCCTAACATCGACTCGGACTATTATCCTGTTGCAGCCAAGATACGTACCCACCTTTGTGCAGCAAAAAACGCCCGACAACAAACACAAGGAAGGTTCGACGTCGAGAAGCTGCAATCACAACAGACAGCCGAACGGTTTTCTACTCGACTTTTGCTTTCCGAGAGCACTCGTCAACAACTCTGTATAAGGGAACTGTGGGACGGCATTTCAAGCGCCTTACGTACAACTGCAACCAAAACAACTGGTTTTGTTAAAATGCAAAAGAATAGCTGGTAGACGAGGAGTGCCGTGTCGCAGGGGAGAGAAAAAAGACTGCCAATCTCGCAACGTTACGATCGACCACAACACATGCGGGATGGTATATATACCGAGAGTTGAAAAGAGGAGCGAGACGCATTTGCGGACGGAGAAATAGAGAAGCCGAAATGCGTGAGTATAAAGGGCTTGACGAGCTGGCCCACGAGGGTAATGCTCGATAATTGTACGAAAGATTGGGCTTCTAACAAAAGGTTTGAAGACCGGAACATACTCCTGTAGAACTCCCAAAGATTCTAGCGACCGATGCCCAGAGCATACTTAAATTATGGAAGGAACACTTCTCCAGCCTTTTGAATGGGAGTGAAGGACAGATTTATTATAATATTATATCGTAATTTAGTGATTAGTTATGGCACTTTATATGCTTTCGATTAATGGCGATTTGTGGGCATGGTCCGATTACGCCCATCTGTGAACTGGACAATTTTTTTGATGTTAGTAAACCCATATACCAAGTTTCATCAGGATATCTCAATTTTTACTCAAGTATTCTTCTACTGCCGGATGTATGGACGAACAGACAGACAGTCAGCCGGATTTTCTCATTTATATATATAAAACCCAGTATCTATTTTGCTTAGTTTTAGGTGATACGTACATCCGTTAGGTGAACGAAACTATAATACCTGTCTCTTATACACATCTAGATGTGTATAAGAGACAGCTCAATTTTTACTCAAGTATTCTTCTACTGCCGGATGTATGGACGAACAGACAGACAGTCAGCCGGATTTTCTCATTTATATATATAAAACCCAGTATCTATTTTGCTTAGTTTTAGGTGATACGTACATCCGTTAGGTGAACGAAACTATAATACTCGGTAGCAAATAGTGAATAACATTTAGAAGTATTAAATAAATATAATAGAAGTTCATTTTAATAGAATCGGAGTTCCTTTTACTGTTTTATATTTATTTATTTTAAGAGCCAATATAAAAATCATTTGATTTAGATAAATGATATTGTAATTAAATCATGAATATTTTATAATAAATAAAAAAAAATTTGAGAAACATAATTCATGTTTTTTATAAATTTCCAAAAGAGTAAGAAATGCCTGTCAGATTGTAGTAGTAGTAGGGTATATTCAATACAGTTTTATGGATTATCGAATTTCCGACTAAAGTACTTTTGTGAAAATATTAATAGTGGATATTATGCAACACGTTCTAAGTATCACGTATCCAATTCGCACAAACATTTGCAAACATTTTATGAGAAAGAAGAAAGATAATGATAGATAAAGAAGAAGATAATGAGCGGCAAAAGTGTCCCCAAGTAAACGCCATCTAACGAGTAATTTCACGACACTGAGGTAATCTAGCGTATCAGTTCATGAGAGAGAATAAGTTTAAAAAGAACATTATGCACAATAAGCTATTTCTATATAGAATTCGAGCGAAAAAAAGTGTTAATGAAAATTTGACAAAAAAACTTGTCTTATTATTGCATTTACATAAGTATGGACATACATATACAGTTACGGACAATAAAATAGAATCAAAGGTTTTTCTTTGAAACAATAGTATA